AAGTCTCGAAGAATCATGTTGTCAACTTTACTAAGCACTCACTCTCTTGTAGTGAACAGAAAAATAAAATAATTGTAAGCCTTGATATCGATCAGAAAATTATTGGTCATAGCATCTGAGCTGACAATATTTTCTCTTTCTATATATTTGATTCACAGAGTGTGCTTAAGGTACGGAAACGCGTCACTTTGATGGTCCTAACTGTCAGTGTCATATTTGCGATTTGTTGGGGAGCAGAGTCAATTGAATACGTCCTAAGATTTCTCACGACTCTGAACATCACGTTCGTCCATATTGCTATCGTTGACATGTTGGTGTTGTTTAATTCAGCTGTTAATCCATTTGTATATGCCCTCCTGAACCATCAATTCAGACAGAAGATCAGCGGAGTGCTGTGCTGCAAAAGTTCTGTGATAGCACCCAGGCCTCGAGCTGAAACCGGTACGGAGGAAAGTGTTGCTGATGAAACTAGGCTTTAGTTTCTTAAGCAGCTGATGACACATGGCTCAGAAGCTATTAAAGTAATTTAGTTCTCCCTTGTTTTTAAGTTGGTCAATCATTCTCTTTAGAGGAAGAAGACTACATGCACTAGAAAACTGAGCCAAAGCTATATTTGAGCGCGGAATCTTTGTTTACAGTCGGTATGGATCATGGAATGCGAAGGAGTCAAATTGAAAATCATGTGTGCCCAACCAGCTATCTTTTTCCAGAAAGAAAGCTGAACAAAACTGAACAAAACTTGAGTAGTGTTAGAGCTTCAATATTACCAGTAAAGTATATTTTTACCTTTACATACTGTGGTACAGCAATTCCACTATCGATTATGAGATCAATCAAAATGTCAGGCTAGAAAAAATATACATATCACCCGAAGAAAAGATCAATAGCCGAAAATACGCAGAATTCATTATTCGCGGTAACGGACGTAATTCCGGCTTGCAGCAGCTTTTGAAATAGCATAATCATCGCATTCGCAGGCCTTACATCAAGCTGAATTTTTTTCATGCGAATGGTCGATGTTAATGTTGTTTAGCCAAAATATTTTAACAAGTATAAGCTGAAGTTTGTCAACAACGTGAAATAAGGTAAGTTGTTAACAGTCATATTTACTGTAAGTTGAGCTTAGTACAAATATCGTTTTATAATTAAAAAAAAATTCCCAAAAAGGCAGATGAAAACAAGTCTAAAAAACAAAACGCAGGAAAAAAAGAGAGAAAAAAAGAAAAAGAGAAAAACGGAGAAAGGAATGGAAGACAGGGAACTCTGACCATTTGGCCATTTCCAAATTACCGTTAGTTTCATTTTCAAAGTGAGCCCTGATGCTTATCCTTTCATATGATTTTAAGTTTCCATTCACAAGCAAATTAAACACATTTTCATACCAATGGTTGAGCACCAGGCAAAAGCCAAGCGTTCTCCACTGTTCCTAATTGTCCTCCTCTTTATCATTTATTGACAAACTCATGGGCATATAACGAGTCCACTCTATTAAATGAGAGATATACATTATATAGATATCTTTTCATAGCAGCTCATTCATATCATTGTTTGCATACAATATACAAACAATGGGTGGCTATGACCGGATAACCATTAAATATTTGAAAATAAAAGACACGTTGAAACACTTGATAGAATAAATAACTTTTACATTGACGAATAAAGATAAAAAAAAGCACGAGTGGACGACGTCAAACTTGATTTGAACATCTAATAACAGCATGAGGAAAGAAACTGGACTACTAGCGATCGTATATCTGTTATTTCATGCAATTTTAATCCTGACGCATCTTTAACAGTTATCTTAATTTAAGAACTTCATCAATCATTTGACTTCCTCTACGTAAAGAACGAGACTTTTCCCATCACTACCACAATGATGTAGTTAAAATTTAGGTCCTTATTTATGCTAATTATTGGTAGAATAATGTTTTTATGCACTGTTTTCGGAAAATAATGGCATCCTCGCATGCATGCTCTCTTTCATGTTCTAGACCTCAACAACACCTCTCGCACGCTCGAATCTCGTGAGCCTCGCCGCTCGTGCCGCACTGCTAATAATAGCACGCCCGTGGGCTAAACGTCAGCGAGCGTAATGTGCTCTGGTAAGTTAAAGTGTTTCAAAAAAGTACAGTGTAAAAAAGTCAGTGTTTACCTTACTGGACCATCAATTCAGAGAAAAGATTAGGGGAGTGATTTGCTGCGCAAGTACTGCTACAGCACCACTGAAACGAATGGGATAAACATTAATAGCCCTTATATTATCAGAAAATGCAACCAAGCCTGTGGTTGCAACCGAGCCACTTCAACAACATGAATGTAGCTTGCATCAAATTTTGAAACCTTCTTCACCAAAGCACTAATAAGAATACTATTTGAACGAGAACATTTGAAGTGCTTCGTCTAATCGGCTTACCAAATTAAAGTTGAAATTAATTTTGAACTGTGCATTCTCTTAAAAAGGTAAAGAATGGTTACTTGTCACATAGAGGAATAAAGGATGAGTTACCGATGCCAAAATTGTCTTGATCACTTACCAACACCCCAAGGTCATCGCATTTCCGTAATATTTCGAAATATTGACATAGTGAAACATTACCTTGACAGTTATCTTGATGTTAACATCTGAATAAACCTTTATTTATTTGACGTCTACTGCCAAACACCCGATATCTGATATAGAAAACGTGACTTTTACAATAACTCCCACAAACTGGTAGTTTCTCGAAGTTCGTGAACATGTTCTGAGTCATAGCAAGACTGGGCTGCCCATCTAAGTCAGAATCTTAGCATCAACGACGGCTGAAATTCTTGTCCTCGGGCAAAAAATGATTTTTGGACAATGGTTTTCTAAGGTGGGTTTACACGTACAGCATGACGAACGATAACACGACGAATTCCCCATTACTTGACTGTGGTTTACATCCATATTTTGGGGTTAAGAGCGCTTTTATCCCACTATTTAGGCCAAATTCTGTGTCGTAATTACTCTTTCATACAGAGGGATAAATGCGTGCATGCCAAGCACTCTTACAATACATGTAAGTTCAACAAAAAGCTGACGTTTCGAGCGTTAGCCCTTCGTCAGAGCGATAGACGAAGGGCTAACGTTCGAAACGTCTTTTTTTCTTTTACTCTTTATGGTGTCCAATTTACGTTTTCAACTCAGATGTTAACACTAAATTACCTGCTATACTCTTCCACCGACGCAGCACCACAGTTTCTTTAGAAACTTAGCCCCTTTATTCAAGTTTAACAAAGTTTGCCTCCTATCGAATTTAGGACCTTATTACCACCGATCTGTTGGATTTACCTTTCTGAATGTGACATAGAGAATCTATGTGGTATGCGGGTATTTTAACAGGAGCTTATTAAGAGCGACATTTAAGGGCTATAGAGTACATTTATAGACTCAAGCGGACAGTTTCTTATGATGCAGTAAAAGAGCATTCATCCAGTTCATTAAGCTGAGGTAAGGCTATTTACTATTTTAATCACGAGTTTATATGTCTTGAATATTTAGAGGGTACTGATCATGACCCAGGGGAAATGAAAGCGTTCTTAAGTGTTAATGGATTTCCTCACGCCAGACTAATAAATTTAAATATAACACGGAACTTGTCAAAGTGCACTTTCTTGAAAATTTCACTTTTCAAATTTTTCATCTTCCGCTAAACACCAATGTTTCAGCTCTTATAGTTGTTGTTTTTATTTTTTTCTCTCCCTTTCTCTGTCTTGTATCTGTCTGAACACAAAGGTCACAGAGAATCCGGCTGGTTGCTATCTTAACTCAAATCCAGTGCGCGTCTTTTTGAAAATTCAAGTGATGCTCTCTTTAATTAATGGCCTCATCAAACTTAAGCTGTTTCCATATGGCTCCAACGTCAGAGTTCAAGGGTCATGAATCAATACCATTTAAAGAGGGGGGACGTTGGGATTTTCGGTTTTGTGATTTTGGCTATTTCTTTTATCGAATTTTTTGTTTTTGTGCTGAAAAAATTAGGTTTTTTGGTTTTGGCGTCTCTATCGGTTTTTCCTTTGTGGGGCATTTGGTTTCCAGTTTTCGGAAGAGATACTAGCGGTTTTTCAGATGTGATGTCCTATTTAGTTTGTGGTTTTCCCATTTCCCAATCGTGAATGTTCATTTTCTGCATGGGTTTTTAATTCATTGTACCAGAGCCCATCTTGATTGTACTTTGTTTTAATATTGTAAACTCCGCCGTTTAGTTTCATCGTTGCCTTTGCATGTTAGGACGGTAGACATTTTACAGTCAAATCTTCCGATGAAATCTCAATAAATCAATAAATGTTAAGTCATGATTACATTTGTAAAAATTGTCGTAATTCAGCCCTCGAGCTGCAAGGGTAATTTTAATAAAACTATCTATCTATCTATCTATCTGGTTTCTCGATGGAAATTTTCAGAGTTAAAGGGGAGCTTTCTAAAAAATCTGTGCAAGTTTTCCTAATTCAAACCTCTTGAGAAAATGGTGGTTTTGTATGCGGTTTCAGGTTTTGATCTGCTGCGGGTTTTCCGGTTTTGGCTGTCTTTTTGTGCGGTTTTGTGGTTTCTTGTGGAACCAATGCCCCAGTAAAGTGACATCGAGAGACTCTTAGTTAAGCCATTATTATAGAATCACGCTAAACATTTTGGTATTCATGTCTTTGGATACGAATTTTCAAGGGATTTGATTTTCATTTGGAAACTGATTTGATAATTTTTCAGAAAATCATGATTAATCTAATTAATGATAATTTTCTGAGAAATTATCAAGTCAGAAAAGCATGAATAAAGAATGATTTATACATTGGCAATCTATCAATTACTTCTAATCTATGTTTTTTTAAACTACGTATCAGAATCGCGGTACGCTTATCCCAATGTGCTGACCTTCTATACCCTGACGATATATTCACTTGTAGATCAAAAGTGTTTCTGTGGCTTTTTCCTACCAGGTTGAATTGTCTCACAGCTCATCTCGAGAAAATGCCTGAATCAATTGCCCTGACAATTATAATCGTCATACTCGTCACTGCAGACATTGTGGGGAATTCACTTGTCTGTTTGATTGTGAAAAAGCACAGAGATATGAGGTACCAACACAAGTAGAAACCGCATTTTCAGTTTTAAGATAAGTTGTTACGTATGAAGATCTTTTTCGTTCTACAAATGGAAGATAAGTCATTGCAATTAATCGCCGTTGGTAGTTTTAGAGTCCAAGATTATTTAGAAGGCCGGGATTTAAGACGGGCGAAGAGAACTCAACTTCCGCTGGGAAATCTTTGAGTTTTGCATACGTGCTCGACTATGCATAAAACGACATAATTGATACCCTTTATTATTTTTTAAGACCTGAGCAGATGTCAGCAATAAATTATAAAGTACTTATTCAATGTTTTGTTGATGCTGAAGGACTCCCATAAATTACCTGCTTGTGAATCTGGCTGTGGCAGATATCATGTTTGCGACTTTTCTGGCGCCAACAGTAATATTCAGCCTCGCTTTAGATCATCCAGATGGCACTACTGGTTCTGTGTTATGCAAATTAGTGACTGGTGGAAATGTGGCATGGATAGGAGGTGCGTCATCTATTGTCACCCTCGTCATAATCGCCATAGAACGTTATTACGCAGTCGTACATCCCTTTGAAAGTCAAAGAAAACTTACCAAGCGTAGACTGAAGGTGAGTCTGTAAGGACAGATAACAGATCAACGATAATAATCTTTCGATTTAATCACATGTAGGTGCAGGGGGATTTCTAATATGTTATTAAAAAGATAGTTTCTAAACATCTCAATTGGACTGAACCAATATCTTCAACGATAGCTAATGTAGCTTTGTGATATACTGACTTCAATATCTTACTTTTTACACAGCTAATTATCCCGTGTTCTTGGACATTCTCTTTAATTCTTACCACCCCTTTATTTCTGGTAAGAAATAGGAAGGGCAATTCTTGTGAACAACTGTGGCCTGAGGATTGGATGGCTAAGGCTTATAGTTCGGTTTGGTTAGTCTTAGTAATAATTACTTTGGCGTTAATGGTTGCCTTATACATCAGAGTTGTGAACGCTTTGTGGTGCAAACAGGACAATTCACCAACCAACATACAGAAGGTAAGCGCTCACTAAAAAAAATAATTTTGTATATGCGTGTTTCTTTGGGTCCAAAGCCCAAAGCCCAAAGCCCAAAGCCTCCCCATGGCGAGAATCTTAACGTTTCCTGCCCCTGAGTATCACCCGGCTTGTTACTTCTTATGAGCCACTTAATTCAAAGTTCTCCTTACAATGATCCCCAACCAAAGCACTTAGCCGTCGAACGATTTCTCCTAGTAAGCGGGGGGGGGGGGGGGGGGGGGGGGGGGGGGGGGGGGGGGGGGAGAGAGAGAGCAGCACGGACTCATATTCCCGCACAGCGGCTATGTGATAGTCCGAGGTCCTATGTGTTAGATCACCTCCTGCTACGAATGTGTCGCCACAAATATTGCATCGGCCCTTATTTGATTCCATTATTCACTTTTTTTTAACGCAGGGCGTCATGAAGAGCCGCAAACGTGCTACCTTTATGGTAGTTACGGTTAGTTTTCTCTTTGGAATTTGCTGGGGAACAGAATCAGTAGAATTTTTCTTGAGAGCATATACATCTCTTGACATCAGTTCTCTTCACGTGGCTATAGCTGACACAATGGTTGTGTTTAATTCGGCACTTAACCCGTTTATATTCGCTCTCATGAATCATCAGTTCAAGGAGAAGATAAAACGGATGTTCATCTGTGACAATCCCACAATGGCACGAATTCATGCCGCTGAAAACCTCAAAATGATTCAACTTAACAAACAACCAACCAACAACATCGCCACCCAGTATTTATCGCATTCAAATTTTCCTTGAAGGAAAAAGACGTTATGCTAAAAAGTAAAACACTCAGAGCTCTGCTGTCCTATTTTAAGGAGAGCATTCTAGGCTAAAACGCTAGCAGTGCTTGATTCCGGTTGGCTAGTTTCCCTCATGTTCCCTCGAATTCCTAGTTTGATTTCCAAGAAACACAAGGAAATGTACTGTAGATGTAATTGAGTAAAGAAGACTGTGAATATCATGTTCTAAATCATGTTATATACCAGAGTGTTTCGTTCTAAAGTTTTCTTAGGTCTCCTGTCGGAGGAATATCTCCTATCAAATAGTCACCACCGAGGGAAAGAGTTTTGACTTTTTGGATTCTGGAGGGCTGATTATTTTCAACATTATTTTGTCGTCACGGCAAGGGAATGATTAAAGAACTTAATTGTGTGCCTTGGCGAAAAATTGGATATATTATTATAGAATGGCACTGTTCTGGCCCTGACTACAACCGAATAATTACAAAAAGAATGTCACCTTATTTTTTGTAACTCAGGATAAAACTAATGAATACGAAACCGGGAACAGCTTTTCCAAAGAATTGCTTTTCAGGTCATTATCTGCATGGCCGATCCTTTCTTGCACTATACCTTATATGGGGAAGAAGTTTATATCATAGAAATTGATTTCCAAATGGTGATTTCGAAACCTTCCTTTCATAATTAGGTCTCAATTCCAAATGGACAGATATTTTGTAACGGATTTTAAACAAAAATTCCATCATGGTCGTGGTTCATGTATGTGGCGTTATTGTAACTACTAGAGCGTCAAACTGAGTATAAACTTGGAGCGTCTGTGCTGCTGGGTGATAGATTTTTTCCAATTGAAATTTTCAAATCCCAATTATCGCATCACAGTCAATTATTAGGTAACTAAAAACCTTTATTTAGATATGATAATGAGTAAAGCGTATATAAGGACAACACTAGAAGTAAAGCAAATAAATAAGAATGAAATATTTGTACAATTTAAATAAAGTTGAGTAAATTGTAGTTATATCTAAGATAAATGTATAATTTGAACCCTCCTTAATCTAGTTTCGTAAAATTACACACTTTGAAAATGTTTGTTTTCGCCATTTTATTGTTTTGATTACGTCTTAGTGTCGCTCGTGCTGGAAAGAATGTGCTCGTGCAGATGAAGCAGTTTTGGGGTAATATTTTTGCAATGCCACTGTTGCTGACCCATTTTAAAAAGTACAATATTGGGGCAAATGAGTCAAACTTATCGATCGAATCCACCTAATTTTCAAGCTGGCATCTAGATAGACGTACATTTCACGAGTCACCTAGGCATTGAGAGTATTCCTGAATAAATGAACACCACCAAATGTAAGTCTCCGTTCGTTCATTTTACAAAATGATATCACTGAAGCTAAATGCCCGGCAATCGAGTAAGGTCTTAAATAGACTGAATGCCCGACAGTTAGAAATTGATATTTCTCAAAATTTCATTGAAGGGTTTCGAAGCGTTTTACTTCGAATATGACACACCGTGCTCGGTGGTCTGTTCAAGTGTCGACAAACAAGCGATTTTTCGGTTTTATAGGCTTGGAAAGGAAAATTTGACCACCAAAGAACAAAGAAGTATTTAGAATCACTTGGGATATCTAAACAAACACCGAATTTTCTAAACAGGTTTATTTAGGTTTTCTGCATTGTCTTCTCTCCATATTTACCGAACTTGAAGCTGTTCTGACGTAGGTAGCCCTTTATATCACTCAAGAAAGGAGTCAAAGGCAACATTCTATACGCAACCAAAGTGACCTCCCAGACTTTATGGCATATGTGTCTTAGTATGGTACGCTGACCGCTGGAAAAACCAACACAATTCTTGGAATTAATCACTTGGCATTTCTAAACAAACATCCAATATACTCAATAAGTTTCATTTGCATGGAGTTTTCGGTGGCATTTTTGTAAAAATTTCTTACTGCTGGTCATATAGTCCATTAAGACCGTAACCGGCAGTGTAACCACATGCTAGGAATTTCTAAGTGGCGACAACCGAGCGATATTATAGGATGCACAAGCTCGGAGAATTTGTCCACTCAAAGAAAAATTAGTTTTTGGAATCGCTTGACATTTCTAAAACTAACGTCTAATATTATTTACAAGTTTGAAGGAACTACAGTTTATTTAAAACCGTGCGTGGCTACCGGGCATTTAGCCACATAACCTCTCTATTCCTAAATAGAAAGTGAAATTATGCTCTATTTTGATAACAGATGAAATCAGGTATGTTAACGACTATAACCTGGTCTCTATACCCTTATTTTCCATAGCAGCTTTGGCTTGGGTGCTACAGAAGCACTCTGGCAGCAGATCACTCCCCTGATTTTTTGTCTGAACTGATGGCTCATTAGGGTATAAACGAAAGGGTTGACGGCCGCATTGAACAACACCATCATGTCAACAATGACAATGTGCACAAAGCAGATGTTGAGGGAGGTCATATTCCTTGGGATGTATTCAATTGACTCTGCTCCCCAGCAAATTACAAAAATGACACTGACTGTTATTACCATTAAGGTGACCCGTTTCCGAACCCTCAACACACCCTGTAATTAATAAAAAAAAAAAAGGAAATTCTGGTAAATGCAGAATCAAGTCCTTGATTTCTCACCAAGGCTTCTTTCTCAGTAAAAGTCAAAGCAAATGAACATGTGATCGATGGGAGTGTTCCTAATCTAAATAAACTCCGCTTTTGCCCGACGATTTCCATTTAAGTTCCTTTAGTCTGCAGATTGGACGTGATCATCAACTGCCGTAATCCCCTAAATTTACATGACTTTATGACGCGAAATCCCTCCTTGTCATGCTAAAACAAATTTTATAATCTTCAATTCCATGAAAGGTAATGGCATAGAGGAAGGAAAACAGTTCTGAACTCTTGTCTAGGCCAGGGCAATAACTAATGGGCAATTGATTTTTAAGAACCTCGATTCGAAAAGTTATTCATACTAGTATACTCTGAGAGGAACTTGGGTGATGAATTCTTGATATTAAATGAGAAGAAACCTACAAATATTATTCTGAAGTAGCTTTGATCCTGCACTACTTTCGGCACTCGACAAAAAACTGTTTCATGCCATGGATAATTAAGTGAGAGAAGTGTTGACTTAAGCACGCACTTGTTGTTTACAGCTTAAAGGAAAGCCATCACTTGGTTTGAACCACATGTGGAACACAACTTGAGTGTAAAGAGAAATCATCAAACCAACAGCCGCAACGGACAGCAACAATCATGCAAAACCATATGTTGAGGACATCCACTTATGGGGCCAGCTTTATACACAGTGGTGTTTGTGGTTTTGGTATGTTACTTCTCATAGGTACCGACAAGAAGGAGAGGTAAGTTAAAAATCACCGAGAACATCCAAATACCAAAAACGGTAATCTGAAATATATCAAATAACAGGAAGATGTGTGAGTCAATGTGTTTAGAAACTGGTGCGATGTAAAGCGAGAGGAGGTAAAAATATTTCGTCGTTTCTCGTTGAATGCGTCACTTTCTCTGCAGGCAATCTCGTAGCCAAATTCTATCTTTCTGTCACTATGCCCTATCGACGCCAAAATGCAAAAATAATACTTTTTATCACGATTTTAGACGTATTCTAATTTATCTCCTCAAGACCATTCCTTAAATAAACGTGATCAGCTTTCAAAGCCTGTGAAAGCACAGTCGTTTCTTTTGTTATCGAGTGGCGTTACAAAGCTTTCAAGGAACGTGGAACGATAGTATAACAATGAAAAGCATGAGAACAAATATGTTGTAATAAACCCTACTGGGAATGAATAAAGGGGTAAGTTTCTAAAGAAACTGTGGTGCTGCGTCGGTGGGAGAGTATAGCAGGTAATTTAGTGTTAACAACTGGGTTGAAAACGTAAATTAGCCACCGTAAAGGGTAAAAAAGCTGACGTTTCGAGCGTTAGCCCTATCGCTCCGACGATGGCTAATTTACGTTTTCAACCCAGTTGTTAAATTAGCCACCGTAAAGGGTAAAAAAGCTGACGTTTCGAGCGTTAGCCCTATCGCTCTGACGGTGGCTAATTTACGTTTTCAACCCAGTTGTTAACACTGAATTACCTACTGGGAATGGTCAGTAAGGCTGTGGAGCTATCACCATCCCCCGACCAATTTATGCCATAACTCACCTTTACTTTACGCTTAGTAAGTTTTCTATTTGGAACCTGTGGATACACCACAGAATAATATCTTTCGACAGCAATCACAACCAAAATAACGGCTGAAGAAACTCCAAAAATCCATGCCAGATTTCCACCAGTCGCGAGCTTGCAGAGGACAGAACCCGTTACTCCATCTGGGTGACTTAAACTTAAGCTGACGATAAGCTTTAGTGCGATAAAAATCGCGAAGAGAACATCGGAGATAGCCAGGTTCATAAGCAGATAATTTATAGGAGTCCTTTAGAGTTATGGTAAACAAAATAATAACAACGATGAATCAATGTGAAAGAAGTCTGATCGCAATGAAAGGAATCTACAAACAACTTTGTCACGATCGAACTTCACCAGTATAGTGAAAATGTATCTAGGTTATTACTCTATCAATCCCTGAGCCATACCTCATTTGACGATTTCCCTTGATAATCAAACAAACAAGTGTATTGCCTGTGATGTCCATAATGACTAGGATTAAGAGCATAGTGGTAATCACAACAGAAGAAACCTCGCAGACCACCATTGTGACTCAAGAGTTGGTTCTCAGCCTGAATATCATCAACAGCATGCAGCTATATCAATCTTTATTATCGTGACATGTTCACAAAGGAAACGAACGCTCATTAAGCGCGTCTTAAGCAAGCTGCATCACGACAGGTCTCAATTTCAGTACCAAGTATAGGAATACAAGACCACTTCAATTACAAAAGGAGAGACGCTCCAAGATATGAAAACGTTTAAACTTTCGAAGCCAATTAAATTGTCTGTTTCCAAAAGAAAGGTTCATATCGAAACGTTTCATCGAATTCGACATGAGGTCTGTGTTCATTACGTTTTACAAAATCCGTCTACTTCGCTGCTGGCAAATACAGCTGGGTTTAGTTGTATAAAGGGCGTTAAATAAATGCTATCCAACGTATAAATCGCTATCCAGCGATCCAGTATAGCTATCCAGTATAGCGTTATGCACCAGATAGAGTTTTATCCAGTGGATAGCGCTCTGATCCAACCTTCGAACAACCGGGGCCTGAACTATATTCTATTCACTCGGTAACAACCGACTGATGACCATTCCTAAAATATAAACATTACCAGATTACCGCACCATTTTTAGCAATATCTTAAAAAGATAATTTAGAATGGCTCACCCGTTTAAGTTTAGACGGAGTAGTGTTAAAACTAATTTACTCAGACAAATCTGGATAAGTTCCATTTAACCTGAGGCCAAATAGCGGGAAATTAATTTTAACCTTAGAAACAAACAAAATTGTGCATTACCAATTTACATTTTGCTCAGACACATTGAATACGAGAACGAATATAGAATCGATCCTCGCAGTTTAGAGATTTCTGGTGAAGCGGGTTTGACCAGATTGTGTACTTTAGTT